GGGTTCGGGTGTGGAGGAGGGGGGTGTGGTCGTGGTGACGACCGTGATGGCGGGGGAGTTTCCCTTGAGCGTGGTGACACGATCGGAGATGGCGGCCATGGTGGTGTTGATGGTGGCGAGGGAGGATTTGAGGGCGGTCAACGTTCGGAGGATAGTTGCGAGTTCCGGGGGGGGGTTGGTCGAAGTTGGTGATCGCCTGCGAGTTCGCGGGTGTTGACGGAGTCGGAACGAAGATCAGACATGTTGATGGAAGATTGGGTCATGGTGGGGGAAGAGGGGGTGGATGACGTGGCCGGAGCGAAAGTGGAGGCGGTAGCAGTGGATGTGATAGCGGCAGCCGCAGCGGCAGCGGCGTAGGTGGCGGCGTGTTGGGAGGTTTTGGTTTGGCGTGGTGGCATGTGGAGATGATGGGGGCAATTCCTATTTACAAGAATAGAGCGTCGTCAACTAATTTAGCAATGAAGGTAGCAGAGAATCATAGAGCAAGAATTAATTTTGAATAAATTAATTTGAATTTATTCGATATTAATTCGAGAGTGTACTTTTCAAGAAAATACGAAAGCAAATTTTTCAAGAATTTCCAAATGAAGAAAAAAAAGAATAATTAATTCCGAGAAAAAAAATTCTGACGAAATTTATTCGGATTTGCGTTTGGGGTAAAATTGCATGATTTCGAAAAGGGGTGATTAATTCCGAGTAAAAGAGATTAGTTCAGTCATGAATTAATCGAGTTTAGTCGAAATTAATTAAGGAGTTCAAAGGGAAAAAAAGAAAAAGAAAAAAAGGACACACTTCTGAAAAGAGAATTTCGAAAAAGAATTGCGAAAAAGAATTTTTTGAATTTCAACAAAAATTGCAAAAAGGAATCTGTGAATTAAAATACTGAGAAAAAGAATTAATTAGAATTATTTTTGAATTTCCAAAAGAAATATAAAAAAAGAATTTAATTAATTCTAACGTATTTTCAAAACTTTCAAAAACGAATTAATTAATTCGAATGAAAAGAATTAATTCCAAAATATTTTTGAATTACAAGAATTTTGAAAAAGAATTAATTAAAATGATTTTCGAATTTCGAAGATGAAATGCCGAGAAAGAATGCGTAGTAGTTTGCGTACTCCTATGTATTTTCGAAAATTTTGAAAAAGAAAATATTCTTGAGAAAGAAATGTCGAGATAGATAGTTAATTAAGTATTTTCGAATTTCCAAGAATTTTAAAATGAATTCTAGGAAAAAAATTAAAAATTAATAATAATAATAATAATGATAAATAAAGGAATAAATGAGTTTTGATGTAAATCGAAGGCGGAGCGATCCTATCTACGATTGAACGGGTGGTAGCGTGGTAGGTAGGGTACGGGTAGATTGATGATGATGATGATAATGATGATGATGATGATGATGATGATGGTAGGGGGGAAACGTGGGGGGGGGGAGGGGGGGGGGGGGGGGGGGGGGGGGGGGGGGGGGGGGGGGGGGGGGGGGGGGGGGGGGGGGGGGGGAAAGATCGCGCGGGGGAAGAAGCGCGCGGGCTGGAGGTAG